TATATATATATGTATATATAGTTCATCTTTTCCACTGGTTATTCGAACCCAGAAGCACTATGCTAATACAAGAGAACCGGAAAATACTTCTGAATTGGAGCCAGTTCAGTTGTCATGACTGTAACATTTTGTCACACAGCTTTTCCTGTTGTTTAACCTCATCCATAGAAATAGACTTCTGAGGAAACCAGTCACTTTTGGAAAAAACCCAGACTATTTCTGCGTATTTTTAGGATCAGGGCTGATAGAACAGTTAAACCCAGCAGTATTAAAAGAAAATGAAGATGATGTGGACTCAGATGATGAAAGATGGAGCAAAGATAGGAAATGTCATCTTCAAGTAATCCGGGGAGGGGGAGAAGAAAAGGTAGATTTTGCTTGTAATGCGAGACCTAGCAATGACTCCTCACTCCAGATTTAAGCCCCAGCAACAACCTGACTTTTGTGATAAAAATGGTACTTCCCTCTCCAACACAATAACTTCTAGTTAAGGGAGAGCCGTAACTTGTCCACTGGTGTGCACAGTGTGGATAATGGAAGCACAGGAGTGAGGAGCGTGCTCCAGAGCCAATGTACTCCCTAATTTAGCTATGACTAAAGCTGTAATTACTGTAGTTCAGTAAGATTTCTATCTTGATAACATTTCTTCAAAATATGGAATTCTTAATTAATTCTCTCATGTCTTTTCCTTGTAACACTGTTGAACTCTAATGAGTGGTAGCGTTTTCTGTGGGGCAGTAATGAGAAAATAATGATGAAATAAGTAACAGATCGAGCTGACATTCTGTATCTAATTGGTGAAATATCCTCTTGTTCCTCCTAGGGCAAAGGTGAAGAAAGGTGTGAACGTTTTCAGTGTAAGAGCCAGCAGCCCATACTTGTGGGACATCAGAGAGAGCGTGGATTATACCGGGAAATATGCACCAGCTGTTATTGTTTGCCAGAGGAAATCTGCTGCCTCTGAAAACAGGTAGGTCACAGCAGCCTCTGTTTTCACAACCTTACAGCTGTTTTTCCTTTTCAGAGCATTTTACCATGATTTTAATAAGTTTTATTATAATGCACACCAAAAATGCTTTCGGAAAAGCTGTGTCTGTATCTTGGAGTGCATTGCTAATTCTACCACATACACTTCACAAAAAAATGTTATTCCACCCTAATAGTCAAAGGAAGTTATAACTAGCAGAAAATAATTGTTTTCACAGAGTGTTTCCTATCTTAAAATTTGGTTGTGATTAGTTTAAACTCTTCAAATTATTTGCATTATAGCAAGAGGTAATCATAGGGCTGGTTTTGGTGGGGTTTTTTATTTGGTTGTTGGGGTTTTTTTGGTAGTTCTTGCTTGGGATTTTGGGGGGTTACAGAATTACAGAATTGGGTTTTGTTTTGTTTTGCTTGGGGAATTTTGTCTCTTTTTTCTAATTTAGAGGAAACTAAAATGTACTCCAAGAATCAAACCCACATTTTTTTGATGAGTTTGATATGAACATGTAATCTGCAGATAGGAATAGATTTTCCATTTCCATTGTGCAGCAGCATAGATAGGACACTGACTTGTCTTAAACAGCCCTTATCTGGCAGGTGGATGTTCCTTCTCCAATCACAACTGATTGCTTTAATGAATACATTTCTATATCATTTGTTGCTTCTTTCTTTTATTGTTTCTGGAACTGCATGTCAAGTGGATATTTATAAGGTTCTGACTGATTGCCTATGTATTGTTTGGCATTGCTGTTGGAAAACTTGTATATAACATGGAGTTTTGTGCTGTGATTTACTTCTGAAATTTGACAAAATCTTAGAGGCTTTGGGGATTTATTATGTGGTTTAGAATTTTTAGACAAATACCCTCTGAACCTAATAACTAGGAAGTTTCATGTCTTTGTAATCTGGGTATATGGAAAAAGGAGGAAGGGAAGCATTTCCCTTCATAATCATGACATAAATCACTTTTTCCTTTTTATTACTCAGATTCTACACTATTTCTCTGCTATAATATCCTGAATTTTCTCATCTAAGCCATATATTGTCACATACTTGACTGAATTTTATTGGTCAAAGAAGCAATGCCAAGGTCAGAGCTTCCTACTGTCTAGCACAATCTGTCAGACAGATTCTTTAAAATCCCAGTTCAAAGCTATTTGAAGACAGTGTGAGTATTTTCATTTACTGAAATGGGCATTGGATCAAACCCAAAGATTATTTCAACAATGAGTTTTCCATCACACTTTATCTTGTTGGGTCTATGCAGTGCATTTGCCCGATTTTTCCCTTCCTCATCAGGAAAATACAATGCAGCCTCATGGGTGAATTGAAGTTTGGCAACTTATTTCCCTTCAGTATTCAGCTTTCAGTGGCAAATCTTCCAAATGGCTCCTTGCACATGAAAGAGTAAATTATGATGTCACCTGTCATGCAGTATGTGTGGATTTTGTGTACTTTCATGTGCTGAGTATGAACATTGCTTTGTTTTTATTCAAAGAAATATATATTCATATAAGGTATTACTGGAAAGAAAATCAAACAAAGACAAGGTATATGTGTAACTTCTGGTTTGACTTATTCCATCTGAGTTCCCAGTTGAGATTTGTGGTTTTCTGGCTTTCAAGAACTTCTTCCTCATTGTTTGCAAACAAATATAAATATTTTTAATGTATTATTCAGTATGTTGTTTTCCTCATTAAATTTAGTCGCATCTGGTTTGCTATTCATTTTAAGAAGATGAAGCATTATATGGGGAAGGGGAGTGTGCTCAGTGTTTTGGTGAAAACTTCTTTTTCCCTATCTAGATGTTTGTTGTATTGCACAAGGAATAACAGCTAAATATTGATGTCTCTTACTAAATTGTTTGCTTCCATAGTTCAGTTAGGAACTTGACAAACCTTGTTTGCATATTGTGTAATTACTCCTAAAAATCAAGGGGTCTGATCACGTGAATGCAAAGGTTGCAATGTTAATTAACTAAAGATTCCATACCTTCGTGCTTCTGATAGTTTTACATGGATCAGAAAATAGTGTTAATAAAGGTAACTTACTGTGACAGGTGTAATTTCATGGATTAAGGAGGCACTTGTGCAAGTGACAAAGTCAACCAAGCTGCCTGAGCATTTCTCTATAGGAGTTTGAAATATATCCGTCATTTTGATTGGAGAGGTTTTGGCACCGCAAGCTTATTGTAACAGGATTACTATACAAATATTATCACAGACAGCAGGGTGTTTTAGAATGAATATTAACAGCAAATATTATGAGTCTGTGTGAGAATAACTAATTAAGCCCATCTGTCAAATATGATCTGAAGTTCTCAGTGCCTTGCTTATTATGGGCTTGCAACAGTGTTCCAGATTAATGGTGAAGCAATTATAAAGTTCTCCCCAATTTTTCTGATTTCATTCTCAGGCAATAATCATTTTGTAACACTCTCAATACTGACCCATGAGATCATTAGATGGGCTTACTTCTGGTAGCATCTGTACAGCGCTGCTTCTCTGTGAAGCATCTATCTTCCATCCCGCTGTTTTCATGCAGATGACCAAAAAAACCAAACAGAAAATGCTGTGATGGAAATTAACCAGAGGCTCGGGCTCAGAAATGTGACTTGGGAAACACTAAACAGTGAATCAGGGAGATACATCCTGATATGTGCCACTTACTCCCTCTGGATGTTGGCTGATATTTTTCTTAATTCCTCATGTAATGAGGTCAATACACTGGAAACGTGAGATTAAAGGAGTCCTGCATTTTCTGAATGTTTTGTTGGTTTGGTGCTTTTTCTCACTGTACCTGAAACTGAGCATCTCTGCTGCGCTAGCGATGATTGAGAACAGCCAAAAGTGTTTGATCTGGGATCCTATCTGTTCTCTTGTGTTTCCTGTTGGTCTGGACTCAGGTGGGCTGGGTTTGGAAAATTACTGAGGTGGCTAAAGATGCAGATATACTGGATCTGTTCTGGTATGATACTAATGGGTGTCACGATCCTCTTGAAATACTTTATTCATGTTTATATTTTTGTGTACAAAAGTTTGTTATTCCATTGAAGAATACATTACTGTTCTCTGTGCTTGTGGCAGGAATGAGGCCATTGATCCAAGCAAGTGTGAAGTAATTCTAGACAAAACTTGGCTGTCTCTGGGTAGAACCTTAATGTCTGGATGTAATCGTTTACTACCTCATCTCCAGATGTATTTGAACTATGTCATGGATAAGCTTTGCTCAGCAATTTCCTTTTCCCTGTGCTTATTGTTGGAAATGTTACCAGGATAGTATTTCTTTTGATACTTTTCCGCTTGCACTTTTGAGTTATAGTTCTAATAACACTGAAGGAGTTACCAGCTTATGCTGCCTGAAACCAGATGTTGGACCTGCTTTTTGTAGAGAAACTTATTTTCATTTTGAACTATGAGTGACTGAATCACTCTGTGATAATATTAACACAGTAAGAGACAATGACAGTATTTTCTGGGCTGTATCCCTCATTGTTCCTTTGTGTCTCATTTTTTATGATGCCATATTTTAATGCTTAATTTTCTTAATGCTTTTATAATACAAGAAATTAACTCAATATTAGATAATAACAGGGGACAGGAAAATGTGTGACAGCATTGCCTTTGATTTTCCTACACAATGCATTCTTTTTATTACATTTATATTATCCTTAGTGCCCTATATTTCTCACTTTCAATTCTAGTTAGTTTTCTTGTTGTAACAGCAGTGAGCTACTGCCTCATTCTTTTACTTGTTGCATCTGCCAGTACATTTGATAGACTCTCGAGAGTGCTATAATCCTAAAATGCTTCTGAAACAACAAAAGCAACAAATTTGACATAAATAACAGCCTAATAGCCACAATAATTACATTATGTCTCTTGCTGGTGTTCATCAAAATGCTTCATAAAAATAGTTTTATGGTTTAGACCACCATTAATTTTTTCCCTTGCTGTTTCTGTGCTCACATGACTTTAGCAACTAGAGGTATATTATTGCTGGGAAAGAAAATTTTCTGCTCAATGGAATTACAGAGAAGATGCATGATGTAGCAAAAATAATTCCCAGTGTGTTTTGTCCCATCACATCATGTGTGATTCCCATGAGCTTCAGTTTATCGTGATGATACCAAAGCAAGAAAAAGACTGTAGACATCATACATGCTTTCTGGTAGGATATATTCAAGTTATGATATCAAAAGGCTGGACAGGCAGAGGGGGTGAAGGACTGGGTTAGGCTGATACTTCAAAGGCATATGGGTAATGATCAGCTGCAAATGTATTTATCCTGGGATGCTTTAGCATTTCATACTTTGTGCCGTTTGGGTTTTTCTTTTACTTTCCTTTGTTGTTTGAAACCTCTTGGGTTCTAACAGTTTATATGTTGTGGTGATGTGAAAGTACTAAACATCTCAGAAGTCATGTTTACATCCCACTGTTCGAAAGCAATTAGTCACAAAGTTCCATTTCTCGTTTCATTTTAAAACTTAAATGTGCCCTCTGAGAGAGAACCCTTTGAGATCTTGAGGCAAAGTAAATTGGTGTGAGCCAAGCCTCAGCGCATCATTCTTTTACATGCTGACCCACTTTTTTTCATTTTTTTAAGAGAACTATTTTATTTATCAAGAAATGCAGACTCTCTCTTGAAATCATCCTACTCGATGCTAATAGACTAGAAAAAAGGTTTATGGTTATTATCTTGAAGCAAATCAAAAGAAAAGAGATGAAATATTAACCAACAACTATTAAATAAAGGCATTATTAGCCAGCTTTTCCACCTGTTTGAAAGAGACTCATTCATTTAAAAACAAAAGGCTTGCAGGAAGGCACTTCAGAGACATGCAGATAACCGTCTGGCATCTGAAGGGTGGACTCTGCTCTTCTATCTCTGACATTTACATGAAGGAGATGCTACAGGGCAATTCAGCTGTCATTGTGAAGAAGAAGATTCCCTTTTATCTCGGCTGAATTTTAGGGTTCTCCTTAG